CCCCCCCCCCCCGCCCCCTCCCGGCGCTCTTCTGCGGACCGACACATCAGTTTCGGAACTGTGTCGTAGCGACTAATGCTGCGCTTGTGCGCTCTGATATGAGGGGCACTCGAGGAGAAGAAATTTTCTGGTCACCGCCCGCACCCTTCGAGAGAGCCTACCACTTCGCGGGGCTCCCGGCTGTTTGCTGCCCCCCCCCCCTCCAGATCTTGCTTGGTTCCCGACATGGAGTCGTTGATAAAGAAGAGGGTGTTGGGGCGGCGGGGCATTTATGATGGGTGTTTTTCGTGAGTGGGTTGTTTCCAACCGTGCAAGAAACCACCACCATGCGGTGCAACATTGCAACATTTTGTTTGCTTTCGATCTTAAAGTTGTGGTACGCAGTTGTTCGTTTTTTTTTCGCGTTCTTCCCCTCGGTGGGGCTCGAAACCCTTCGTTATTTATTTTTGTTGACCGGCCCTTGTTTTTTCGAGCACAATCACACAGCATAGCATGTACTTAGAAAAGCTGTTTTTTTTTTTTCTGCTTAGGGTTAGGGTTATAACCCTAACAGGTAGCGGCGTGTACCTTATGCGCCCCGGAGGCTATTGTACCGCCGTGCGGCGGCGAAATGGAAGCACCCGCCTCAGTGCCGTTAGGCAGCACGGGTTAAATCGATGTGCTTCGCGAGGAGAGAGCCGTGTACATGTATGCAGGCATGACGCGAACCTTTCGGCTGTACGGGCTTCGTATTGCATGCTGTATGTAGGAGTAGAGGAGAGGGGAATGGGTGTCACCTCTGCGAAGGTGTCACCTCTGCTGAGTTGTCAACTCTGCGAAGCGCGGCGTTGCGTTTCTTTCTAGACTGGGCCGAGCGCTCGTGGGGAAGGGGACGAGCGCTTGGCATTTGTCTTGTCCCCCTGGCTCCCGCCTTGCGCTTAGGCGATCCGCTCCTGGCGTAGCCAAGGATGCTTACCACCACCACCAGCAGCGGCATCAGCTACAGCAGCCCGCGAGAGGTGGTTCAAGTTTGACGAAGATGTGCCGCATGAGGCGTGGCAGAACATGGCAGCGTAGTCAACCAACTCGATGTATAGGAAACGTGAGTCGCAGAAAGTTGCGCTTATACGTATGGCGCGAAGCAGATATTTTTTGTGTCTCGGGGGGGCAATTTGTGCTCGTCGATCCCAGGGAATTGAAGGTTTTTGAACGGGGGAGTTCATTCTTTCGGTTATTGTGCGTAGCAAGGTTAGCAAGATAAGAGGGCAGCCTGAATGAAACACCCCCCCCCTCCCGGTTTCGAGACTGTGTGACTCTCGGTACCGTAGCAGCGCTTTTAATAGTGGGTGTGTCGTTTTGTGTAAGTGCTGTGCAGCCCTGTGCTCTCCGACCACTGCGGGAGTACGTACGTGGTTCGGATGTCGTTTTTGTGTTGGTACTCCCTTCTTCCCCTCGCTCCTCGACAAGCTTTTGCTTAGACATGGGTTGTAGTGAAGGGGGGGGTCTTTCTGGCGAGCAGGGCTAGACTCACCCTCAAGGGATGACCGAAACCTTCTTGCTGCTGCGCATATCCGCCGCGAGGCATGCGCGTGGTGGTGTAGTTGGGTCGGCACTGATGGGGTCAGGCGAAAAAATGTAGATGCGCGGGCCTCT